CCTATTGCTGAGTCATATCCTATTGCTGAGTCATATCCTATTGCCAAGAAGTCATATCCTATTGCCGAATCATATCCAATTGCCGAGTCATATCCTATTGCCAAGAAGTCATATCCTATTGCCGAATCATATCCAATTGCCGAGTCATATCCAATTGCTGAGAGGTCATATCCTATTGCTGAGTCATATCCTATTGCTGAGTCATATCCTATTGCCAAGAAGTCATATCCTATTGCCGAATCATATCCTATTGCTGAGTCATATCCTATTGCCAAGAAGTCATATCCTATTGCCGAGTCATATCCTATTGCCGAGTCATATCCTATTGCCGAGAGGTCATATCCTATTGCCGAGTCATATCCTATTGCTGAGTCATATCCTATTGCCAAGAAGTCATATCCCATTGCCGAGTCATATCCAATTGCTGAGTCATATCCTATTGCCGAGAGGTCATATCCTATTGCTGAATCATATCCTATTGCTGAGTCATATCCTATTGCCGAGTAATATCCTATTGCCGAGGGAAAGCCCGACTCATGATTTACGAGGCATCCACTGAATCATATCTAATCTCCTAATGACAAGGATTATTTAATTTATTTGATAAATTAATTTATTTTTTTTCATAATTTAATACACGCGCATAATTTAAATTATTTATATTATTTACAATTATATTATTTACTATAATGAATTCCACTAATTTAATTACAATGTTATTATAAATTATATAAATTAATAAAACTTGTGATATTTAAAATATATTTCTATCATAAAAGTAAAAAATGTCATTATCATTAAAAGCTACAATGTTTTACATTCACCAAACAGTTTTCAAAATATGTTTCTCCCTAATTTATCCTTGCGTATGAATACTATTATTTACAATCGAAGATATGCCTGAATTCGTCTAGGCATACAATCTATTAATTTATGATATATTCCTCAAGAATAATTGTTCGCAATCTCCTTATAGTTGTTTATATCCTCCTACAATGGTTTATAACATCCCATAGTTGTTCATAATCAATAATTTCTTGAATGGTATAACAAAAATATTAGAATCAATAATCCAGAAAAACTTTCTGATGTTACATCTCAAGAAATAGCCTTATTTGAGAAACAAAGCTTTTAGCCAAAGATTCTGAATTAGAAATAGTTGAGCAAGATCTCACTGAGGCAAAGCGGAAGAAAACAGATTTTTAGATCAGAAATTAGTAGGATGCTTTATTTTATTGGGTATTGCTAAAGCTCACCAGTGATGACATTTTATATATACGATTACGTACTGTAAATCAATTTTAATGTTGATTTTTTTCATTTGTCAAATATTTATTTATAACAATGTTTAAAAATTAAAGTAATAATTCCGTAAATTAAATTTAGGTAAACGGAAAGATGTAACAAAATATTAAAAATAAAAATAAAATTTAATTAAAAATAATAATGATTGTAAAATATAATTATTTTTTTTTTATTAATAAGTAAATCTTCATTTTAAACAAAAACTATTCAAAGATAGTATAATAAAATTTTATTAAAGATTAATATAAAAGTTTCGCTATATTATTTATAAATTTAATTTCGGGTTACACGTACTACCGTAAATCTCATTGTACTATACTAAAATTCGTACTAATTTCCGAAACCACCTTATTCGACTGTTTTATTAAAGTACGTAGTAGTTAGATCCGCGGATAAATTTCTCATCTATTTTTCACGGAAAAAACAGATAACTAGATTTCCATTAATAATAGAAAATTAAACATGTGATTATGCCTTTTAAAGGTTCTTTGCATAGATTTATCTAGATTCTTATGGATAACAATCTGTATCTGTGAATGAATATTTTATCCACCATATTAAAGATGCGTTTACTGTCCGAAGCGTAGCGCAGGACATTTAATGTACAGGTGATACCAAAATATCAAAAACGTTGATAAATTTCTGTTCACGGATGTTTCTCCAACGAGATCGTGATTCTTATTTTTAGATTAACTATTTTAAATTTTTTTTTGTGCTCTGGACTCAACGATTCTCGTTTCCTAGTTATATTATGGATTAGGATCAAGTATTGGTTAGCAAAAGTTGCGTTAGGATTGCTTATTAGTTTTTTGATACAATATTCTTATAGTCCCTGTGATTTTCTATTAAATTGCACAATCGTAACAATTTGCACACCGATTTACTATATTACCATTTATTTACTATTGTAATACCGCGCTAATGAAAAAAGAATGAAATAAAGGGTAGAATCTACCTCTATATTAATTCAGGGGCTAATATTTTTGGGTAACAATTATAAATTCGGCTGATAATTAGTGTAAGTATAACAGAGGATAATTTCAGCCGAAATTATACAATCAAAAATTACAGGTGCAATCAAAATTTAATAAAGTATCGTTTTTGATGTTATTCTTGTTAATATGACGAAAATACATCTATTGAGAGCATATTACAGTACATAAAGGTATTTTACTAATAATATAATTTATATTTACAATTTATAATATTATGAAATTATATATATATTCTTCTTATTAAAGGTTCAATAGGAAAAATGCTAACTAAAGTTTGATTTTCTTATTAACATTATAAATTAGAGGTTTTGAGTGAGCTATAATAATATAAAGTTTTCTTTTGGGTTATTGAGTAAGATAACTCTGTTCAAAAAAATCGTAAGACCCTTTAATTTTTTTTTATTAGTAATGATCATGTGACTAGACTCTAATTACCTTTACAAAATAAGAGTAACATTTCAAATTTTAGTATAATTATTCCTTACAATATATCAATGAATATGAAATCAAAATGAACTTTGGAATTTGAAAAAGTATGTAAAAGTGGTACTTTATATTAAACATAAAAATCAATGCTTAAGTGTTTTGAGAGTCTTAAATTTCTTTTATTTCTTGGTGACATTTTTGGTTAACAAATACTATATTCTTTTATCGTAATGGTATTTTCTTTATAATTCCAGTAATAGCATTTTTAATATTTTATCATAGAAATAATATTTCCATTATAGTAATAGTATTTTTAGTATTTCATTATAGTAATAATAATAATATTTTCATTAAAGTAATAATAATAATATTTTCATTATAGTAATAGTATTTTTTTTTTTTTGAGAAGAAAAAAAATTCGCAGCCTTCAATATTATTTGTAAATATATTTCTACGAACATAAGATACCAAAATTACAATGTATATACAGTATAAACCCAAAATATTGGTAGTTCTTTAAGGAAGAAATAAAACTTCAAATTCCTCTGTAAAACATACCCAATTCTCAATTCTAGCGATATAATGAAAATGGGTTTATTACATTTAATTCCTAGTTGAAACCTATCAATATTCTTATTTTATTTTTATTTATGATATTTTTATATATCTTTCATTTCTATTATAAACATTTTACTCGTTTTAATCCACTTCCTGGTCCATTACCAATTCCATTAATAGGGAGTTTTGAAATTTTCAAAGGAGATATCGATGCTTGGTTTTATAAATTAAATAAAGAATATGGTCGTAATGGTTTATTTGAAGTAACTTTTGTTGGAAAAAGACAAATTGTAATTACTCACGCTGAATATATCGAAAACCTTTTAAGACATGTAATAAGAAGTGCTAATTATGGTCTTTTAGATTTACTTGATCTTGATACAAAAAATTTAGCTTTTAATCATTATTACAATCGTTGGAAATTTAATCGTCACATTTTTTCGCGGTCTATGATTTCTTTAACTTCTTTAACTTATTCTCCCAAGCTAATAAAATTGAAAATGGTTTATTTGAAGAAATGTCAAATTATTGGATCGATTTAAAGCAAAAAAGTGAAGATGTAATAATTATTGATATCGCTGCTTGGACACGTCGATTTATATCAGATTTTACATTCCTTTTAACAACTGAGAAATAATCTAATACAGTCAATCATTATTATCTTAAATTAAAGAATGAAGTAATTACAAAAGAGATGATTGAATCCGATGAATTTATTGAATATATAAATGTTTTTTTCTCTGAAAATCAATTCGCATATGCTCCGAAATTTATAACAGGTTTACCTTTTATTAAAAATCGAGTGAAGAGATTGTTGGATAGCAATCATTCCTTATATAAAAGATTAGAAGAAACTGTTAGAAGAAAAGGAAAAGAAATCGAAAAAAGTATTAATAATAATGATTATGAATTTAAATCAAAACAACTTGATCTATTACCTTCTTTAATTATTGTAACTACCTCAAAAAAATGTCGATCCTTCATTATCAAGACCAATGACTGATGCTGAAATACGTGGTGTCTTGTTTAATCGCATTTATAGACTATGGATACTTTTTGTTTTGTATTATATTACATTTCACATAATCCAAATGTTAAAAAGAAATTGTTGGAGGAGATCAAATCAGTTTTCAAACAGACAAGTAACAGTTGGTGATCTTGAAAAATTAAAATACTGCGAAGCAATAATTAAAGAAACAGAGAATAAGACCTACAATAAGTCTGAATACAATATATTGTAATCAACCTGAGGAAATAGGAGGATACAAATGGCCAAAAAATATAATATTTATAATGTATTCTCTTGGAATCAATAATAACCCACTTTATTGGAAAGATCCTGAAAAATTCATTCCAGAAAGACATTACGAACCTCAAGAGATTGAAAACAAGCATAAAAATTCATTTTTAATGTCCAAGAATATGTCCAGGTAGAAAACCTGCAATGATCAAATTGAAACATTAATAACTTTACTTTATATAGAAAGTTTGATGTTGAATTAGTAGATATACATGCTCCCCTTAATGTTAGAACATCATCAACAGTCACCTTCTGTAAAGAATTAAGCATCAAACTTATCCATAGAGAATTAAAAACTCATTCGAAAACATGATAATAATCATATTATAACTATAAATTAATTAATTATTTTATCTTAATATTCTTCATTTTAAAGATAACATAATAAAATTATTTTTAATAAGTTAAATTAATAAGTATGAAAATTTTTATAAGTAATATATTTTTTTATGAAAAAAAAGGAGTTTTTTACAGGTTTCTTTAATGTTTTCTATCGTAATAATAAACTTTTATTCGTTTGATAGTGTGGTGACACGGAAACGTTCGTGACCACTGAAGGTGGCGGACAGAGGTGGTAGTTGCACCAAGTAGATTATGTGTTACCAATTGGGTGAAATACAAGGTAATTATTTATTCACCCTCGCACAACACCTTCAAGTAGCAAAGTATGGATAGCAACCAAGGTAAAGGTAAACAAAAGAAAAAGGTATAAAGAAATCATAGTTAGGCAGTAGAAAAAAAAAAAGGAG